TACCGCAGCTTCGTAATCGGCAAGAGCCGACATCAGCACATTACACGCACTATTCGAGCAATTGGGCTCTCGCATTCGCACCATCAAAACGTTGTTGCACTTCTCAACGTCGAACACGACGGGTCCACCATTGATTTCGGGACGGCACGGCGTTGTCCTCTGTACGCGAGTCCATATCCTTTCGCTTCTAACAGGCTGAAAGAAATATTGTTCCGCTGCCGATTTTTCGCGTATTGCACGTCCGTAAGCAGCACCTTCACAGCCTTGCCGTTCGCTGTCGCTTCCAGCAACACACTCCCTCTCTTTGCTACCTGGAGCGCGCCTCCATCGGCGGCAATACGCTCACTCTTGAAGTCCTCCGACTCACTCAGCAGACTTGGGTCGTTGACTAAGTGGCGACTCGAGTCACTGTCGAGAATTCAGTCTTTTTTCCGAACTGACTGCGTCCTTTACCACCAGCTCAAAATCGGTTTCACCCTTTTCACCGTTCTTTTTCCTTTCGGGACACACAACTTTCAAGTGTCCAGTCTCTCCGCGATGTAAACACTTGCAATTGTCCTGCCGGCGTTCGTGGACGAAATGCACCACCTCTCGCCCTAACTGCTTGCCTCGTATCTCGATCTCGGTTGACTGCGCAAAATGTGCCAGCTCTTCAGCCTGTCGTAGGTAGTCCGTGCGCGCTATGCGCGAGAGCATCGACACTCTTATAGCCGGGTCTCCGTAGTGAAGAATGTTGTCCAGGACCAAATTGTCTGCGCCTCCGCACGACTCGCTGACCGCAACCAGATAGGTAGTGCTCTGTCCAGCTCCGTTTTGAGCTCTTGGGCACCGTGAGCATTTTCATGCTCTGCGCTGGCGTGGTCTTCGTGGCGAACGTGTGGGGCAGACGCTGCATCGCGTGCTTCAGCGTCGGCTGCTCCTCCTACCATCTTTCTACCTGCTCGTTGTAGTAGCGTTTGGCCATGCCGGTCAGGGGGTGGTCCAAGACGTCTACCTTGACATCCTCTGTCCACGGGTAACCGCTCGCCCGCTCCGCAAATTAAATCTAACGCATGAAACGCTTCCCCCAAGCCAGGAAATAGCTACCGCGTCCATGATATAGCTCCTTGCCATCGAACGGGCAGATCTTGATCTTGCGCTGCCGCGTGTCCGGTACTCGTGCAACGTTTGCTACGGGTGGTGGTTGTACCGGCGGAACCGGCGGCTGGTACGCACGCGGTGGCACGTAGTGCTGTGGAAGCGCCGGTTGTGGTGCCTGCGCCATCCCCACGTTTGCGGCCACGTCCGCGTACTCGCGCTGCCTCATACCGAAGTACGTGGCCGGCGACATATGTGGTGACCTTTTTTTTCTCGGCGGGGTCTGGTCAAGTGCAAGACGGTCCATCGGCCCGCCACGCCCGAGGGATGATCCGAATACGCTGGTCTCGCGGTCCTTGAGCCGCTCCTTCTCATGCGACGCCTCTAGACGCTCCATGCGCTCTTTGAGGCCCGTGCGTAGGTCCAACAGCTTCTCCTGCGTGCTCTTCGACTCTTGACTTCTTCAGAGCCATTTTTAGCCCTTTTGCGACCATTTGCTAGCTCCGATATCATGCGGACGTCACCCGCGGCGACAGTACGTTCCGTTGGGCTCATAACCTGTTAGATGTAGAGGTTTACTGTGCAGAAGTAGAAGTGATCATTGCCTTTAAGATTTCCTACCTTGCTTTTTACCAGCCATCTGCGACTGCAAATCCTGTGGGTGCGGCGGCCGAACTGGTCATGGAACCGGGGTTACGGTCCCATTTCTACACGTCTTCAGTACCCATTCTGTCACTAGCCCCGGTGATGGACGATCCAGATCACCATCTCAATGCTGACGGCCATACGACGGCCATCTCGCGCTTTCTCTCGTTCTTCGGAAAGTCTATTGATGGCTGCCAGTTTTTGGTTGGCGACAACTGCGCAGTCAACAAGCGGCTCGCAAACTTGCTTCGCGTCCCACTCGTTGGCGGTACCAGTCACTGCGTAAATCTTGCCGTGCGTAAGTATTTGGAGCCCTACGACAGCAGTTTCGAGGAAGTGCAGCGGTTAATACGGAAGTTGCGGACGATGAAGCAAGAGGCTCAACTGAGGTATCTTTTTTATTTTTTACATACTACTCTTGCTTTTAATTAATTAATTGTAATTATCGAAATTCCGAAAATAAGTATAGGATCAAAACGCCATTGTCGCCTATCCTGCGCCTAGACACGCGCTGGTCATCCATCTTATCCATGATCGAGCGTTCTGTCTGCTTGCGAGAGTCTGTATCGGCGGAGGAAGAGGACATTGGCGACGTTCTACGTACCCGAGCTACGCATCCCAAGCTGACTAAGCTCCTCGCGAGCCTTTGCGGCGTCGAGTCGGTCTCCAAGCGCCTGCAAGCAGATGGGCTGACACTGCTGGATGCACGTGATCTGTTTGATATTCTAACATGCTTGATATCAAGCATGTTAGAAATGTGGGAAAGGGTCCGTTTGTATTTTTACGACCTTGTTGCACAGAGTTTGGGTAGATTTCGTCAGATAGATAGTTGTATGAATACACTACATTGAGCCATGCCTGGTCCAAACGATTTCGTGTTTGTGGCTGCCATCCACTCATTCTTGAGCTCGCCGCTGTCATACGCAAGCCACTAAGCCGCAACAAAAATGGCTCCACCGCGTCGCGTTACGCGCCGCGACGCAGAGATTTTCATGCGCCGGCTGAGCGGCTACGACGGCGAGGAGAGGGGTCGTCTAGTGCGTGAACACCGCGAGTACATCTCAGGAACACGGGACTGAGATGCCGACTCCGGGGACGACGACGGCACATTGCCAGCACCGCCGCCGCCTCCTACAACCGGTAGACGCCCACGCATGACTGTCTCAATCAAGCCATAGGATTCGCCCAAGTAGCAGAAGCTGGCTTGCGGGGCCAGCACCTCGATGTCAACTTGCGGTACACATTGTGTATTGTAATAGTGTGTGTATTTATCTAACCTTGTATTGTATTGTTTGTGATAGAGCGTCAGATTCCTCGCAGCCGAGGGCAGAAAGAATCAGTCCCCTGCCCGTCCAGCATGAAGGCATATCATCGCTAAATGGGTGGGGCGGACGTGCACGACCAGCTGCGGCTGTAACGCTACTCGCTGCAGCTCTCCTTGCGCTTTCGCAAGTACTACAAAAGTCTGGCATTTTGCCTATTTGATATCGCTATTGTGAATAGCTTTATCGTATTTCGCGAAGCAAGGAAAATGAGAGGCGAACCCGCCGCTGACCACGCAGGCTTCATTTTCCAGCTCCACGCGCAGCTACTGGGCATGGGCCCAACGGAATTTGCGAACATGGTACGGCTACCGAAGCATTCACTTTTGGTTTATTCTAATTTCCTGCTGTTTGGTCTATTGTAGATGTACTCATCGGGGCGTGTGACACACTCGCGGCAGAGGAGTGCTCAAGTCCGGAAGTTCTTGCTTGAGAGGGACTTGCGGAGTTGGTAGTAAAATTGAGAATGCATTAAATGTTTTATCCTGCTGCTGTGCACTAGATCTTGCTTCATAATAGTCTTCAGCTGTCACACTGCTTCTTCATCCATCACTCTAGTCAGTTAAGTCCGTAAAAGATTCCCTGCTGCTAGAGCTGGATTTCCCCTCGCAATCCTCTTCGTGCACGTTGGCGTGTCACCTGTGACTCCAAGTCGAGGTGACGCCACAAGCTCCGAAGGCCACAGCTTGGCCATGGACGAGGTGTGGGGGAGGTGAACGGTATTCGGAAGCGCCGCCTACGACAGTGTAAGGTGTGTACAATTCGCAAGACAGTGAGCAGCAAGCGCCAGGTCACGCGGTTCGTTTGTCCAGGGTGCAGCAAAAGAAACAATAGAAATGCACTGATTCTTCATCACTTACTAATAGCTATTGCAGGTTGTACCTGTGTGATAAAGTGCGCCAGGGTCGTTACCCGGGCAACACGCGGACATGCTACGCGATCTGGCACGACCTCTGCAGGAATGGTCGCGATCGCCTTAAGTCTCGCTGCGGTCGCGGCATTCAAATGAGGCCACCGGGGAAGAAGGCAGGTAGCGCTGGTGAGGCTTCGACAGAAGGTGGTGCTGCGAGTGAAATTGAGACCGTCGGCGATGATGAAGGCAGTGGCGATAGTGACACCACTCCCGAGTAGGCACATGATGTGCAATCAGCTGCTAGTGTTTGTTTTGCATTACTTTTGCACTTCAACACAAGATGTTCGCAATATTCTTTGCACTCGATTTAGCTAAAGAAAGACTATCCTTGTAAAAAGGGCCAAATCATTTTGCTCTATATTTAGCATGCAGCTATAGACCACGTCAGAACAAGCTCGATAGGAAGCGTGTGGTCACATGGACAGTGATAAAGGGTGGCATTGTACTGAGAGGCGGATATGGTTCACATACAAACTCCTTGTTATCACTAGTCTTTAACATGCTTGATATCAAGCATGAGGTTAGGGGGTTGCATTTACGATTTGATCTCGTAACAGGGGGTGTTAAAAGGTACTTGCACATGTACTTCGCCGGTCCAGGAAAGAATTAACAGTTAGGATTTTTATTTAAAACCTCGCATGTGTGATTGGTCAATGTCCATCCTGAGATGGGTACGATTGGTTAAAATGAGATCATTTGAGGATTTGTATGCACACAGATTGAGAGTAATTGACACGAAATGGATTTAATTACGTTTAGTGATATTACCATCCGTTTGCGCTTGTTTTACATGCTAGTATTTATATAAAGTTTAATTATGATTATTTTTGACGTCAAAGCGAAAAAAAATCCACCCCTCCATAAAGTGATAGTCCAAATGGTCACGACCGAAGTCATCAAAGAACTGTTAATTCTTTTTCGGACCAGACAAGTATTTATATAAAGTCTAGGTCTAGGTCTATATTATATAGACCTAGACCTGGATTGCGTCGTTTGATGTACCCACAAAGGGCCAAGTGTCGACCCCATTCGAAGAAGAAAAACAGAGGACGGTTTCTCTTTTCCCTCAAACTCGACGAACTTCCATGGGCATGGAGCTGCACGTTCGCGCGTGCTCTGCGCGCAACCTGCTGGACAAGCAGACCTTCGGCAAGCAGGACCCGTACTGTAAGCTACAGCTTCGTGGCAAGAGCTTCAAGACACGAGTGCACGACAACGGACGTGAGTAGTTTCTCGTCTTCTCTCCCCTTGCTTCTAACCATCACTCTTGCTTTACTGCCCCTTTAAAGACAAGACACCCGTGTGGAATGAAGTCTTTGTCTTCTCTGTCGTAGACCCACAGTTGGACCAGCTCGTAATCGAGGTCAAGGACAAGAATTTCACGTCCAGCACCCTGATCGGCGAGTGTCGCCTGCCTGTGAGCATGTTTCTTAGTGGCAGCGTCGTGGACCAATGGTATACACTCAACAATGGCTCCAAGCGCGCGGGGGAGATCAATCTTCGCGTGCAGTTCAAGGGACCAGGAATGCAGACCGCAGGAGCGGCCCCTGTTGCCTCCACCGAGAAGGCTCCAAAGCACGCCACGGCTCAAGCCTACCCGTACCCTCGACAGCCCAGCTACTCAACCCCACAACAGTATCATGCTTCCAGCGCTTACCCGGCGGCGAATGCATACCCAACGTCGTCTAGCACGGCGACAACGGCTGCTGTTGCTGCTGCCGCCGCCGTTGCAGCCACATCAGCACCGCCTCCGCAGCCATACTATCAACAGCCACCCCCGCAGTACTCACAGCCACCCCCACAGTACTCACATCCTCCGCCGCCTCATTACGCACAGCATCCTCCTCCGCATTACGCACAACAGCCTGGATACTACCCGCCGCCTCCCCCGCAGCCAGGTTACGGCTACCCACCTCCGCCCCCAGCCACTGTGGCTTACGCTGCTGGTCCTCCCGTGATGGTAGTGCAGGGGCAACCCCACTATGGTCATCATCACCACCACCATGGCTCCCCTCGTGGCTACGGCGGTGGGGGCTTTGGTGGCTTCGGTGGAGGTGGTAGTCGCGGTGGAGGTGGCGGTATGAGCACGGGACAGATGGCTATGGGTGTTGGTGCCGGCGTTCTCGGTGGTATGCTGCTCGGCGAAGCGCTGGATGATGTCTTCGACTAGGCTTGACGAAATCAGAAGCTTTGGCTGCTTTCTGATGAAAAGTAAGTCTTAATGAAGTCCTTTGCATGTTATACATACTTTTACAAAAGTGTACTGGCAAATTCAAAAGCAAAACTTGAAGTTAATCGCTCCACTGGCAGTGCGGATTGGACCTACTTTTGTGACAGGGATAACATGTGGTGTATTTTTGGCATTTTGATGCAGTTTAGGTATTTTATAGCACTTCAACTTGGTCGGCAACAATGGCAGAGCCATCGCACTCACGAGTTCCAGGCTCTACTCTTGCGTTCAAGTCTCCATCTCGCCAGTCGCTTGAGCCAATGCTGGAGATGTCTTCGCCGCAACGAAGACGTGACTACTTCGTGACTGACGACTCCGATGATCACGTTCCTTGTGTAAAGCCCCAACTTCAGCGCAAACTCCCCTTCCAGTATCAGGGCGACGTATTTGCGCAGCGTGGTGAATACACCGACGCCGGACTCTACATGTCACGACTACCAGCATCTCGGAAGGAGAAACAACCTCTTTCTGCGCGTGCTGGGGCCAACTACAAGCTCCACCCAGTGAAATTATCTCCTGTGACCACTGTCAAGGCTGCTTCTCAACGCCAAACGGCTCAAAACAACCCTCCAGTATCAACTCCAACGGTATCAGCAGTGAATTCCAATAAGCCAAGTCAAAAGAGCAACAGGAAGCGGCAGTACGCAATCGCCGTGGAGGCGATGGCGGCAAATCGCGCTCTTCACGGGACGCTACTCAACGACAATGTGGTGCCCAGCGTCATGGCGCTATGCCGCTCCAAGGACGCGGCCACATTAGGAGCTTGTGTAGCCACGCTTGGCCACTTGTCATGTGAACCGGAAGGACGATCCATCCTGCTTTCCCACAACGCCTTGCCGCTATTATCTGCTCTTGCACTCTCGTCAGCACATACACATGAAAAGCTACTTCTTCCGAACTGTGTGGGCACTTTGGCCAACCTCACTATAGAGGACGGAAGTGAAAGTGGGTTTATCAAGGAGAAGGCACTTGACTGTCTGATAAAGCAGAGACGAACGTCAGCTCTGGCCGAACGAGCTTGCACCTTTGCGATGTTCAATTTATCGTGTCCCCAATACGCGTATCCTCGCGTGGATGATGCCGTCCATGCCCTCGCAGAGCACGGAAAAGACGCACGAGACCGCGAGACGTTAAGTCGAGCCGTCTACAACTTGGCGTGTACACGAATGAACCACATCAAATTGGTAGAACCTGAGGTCGTGGCGATCCTTCGACTGCTTATCAGCTGCCAGCAGAGCGAAGCTGCGCGTCTCAATGGCCTCGCTGCATTGTGGCACCTTGTGGAGAGTGGCGCTTGTCGTCGCGCACTTGTTAGAACTGGAGATTGTGTCCGCGTTGTGGTGGAAGAGCTTCCTCGTCTCGGTCTTGCTGCGAGTGACGAGTACGTCGTCTGTACGCTAACAACACTCGTCTCTTTGACACGCGAGACAAACGCTCGAGAGCTTATGGGCAATGCTGGAGCTCTGGACGCTTTAGCTTCTCTAGGCACAGGCGTAAAGCGACGTCCAACGGTGCTCCTACTCATTTACCGCTTGATTGCTATATTACTATCAGCACCTGGCAACATCCGAGCTGTGAGCGAGAGAGTTGTGCAATTCCTACTCGCTTTCCAGCACGAACATGAAGATGGTACAACAGCCACTTCGGCCACTGCCAAGTCTCGTTACGTGCTCTTCGCTCTGGCGAGTATCTTATCGTGGAACCAACCGGAGGATCCCACTGTTTCTTCGGGACAACACAACATTGACTTATCGATACAATCAATTCCATTGGAACTGGACGAGTTACTGGACGCGCCGCAGCTTCTAGAACAAATCTACCGACACGTTGGGTACTCCGAATTCCCACACGACAGCGCTCGGATGCGGCTACAAATGGTCATTTTGTACAATTTGTCCTTCCGATACCCAAAGGCAGATGTTGCCAGACTAGCGCACGAACGATTGAGCCAAGTTGGGGCCAATTCAAAGAATCGTCACATTCTCAACTTGCTAGGAGGTAGTTTCTTTAGTCTGTGTATGGAGTACGAAGTGCATCGCTTACTCTTGGCTGCAGCCTACGCCGCAACAGACGAAAAAGGAAATTTCTTGTTGCAGCGTCTAGCGCGGGATGGGGATGTCGAGGCGCAAAGTATGTGTCTCAACACTGTTTGCATCTTGTTCGACGGTCGCTCGCTGTCTCGAGACGAGTTACTAAGGCTCATCGACCACATCTTTCCCGTTGTGGTCGAGGTTTGTACTGACAAAGACCAGACCAAGAACACAGATAGCGAGAGCTCCGATCACGCACCGCTGAGAGCAGCTTGTGCCGCTTGTCTCACTCGTTTCGCGAGTGTGGCAGAATATCGACTTGCGATGGTAGAACGTGGTTTATTAGATGCGTTGGCAGTCTTGGCTGGCTCGGACGATGACGAGACATTGCGGTTATGTGTGCACACGTACGCCCTACTATCACAGGATAGAGCAGTAGGAGCTGCATTGTTACGTGGCGGTGTTATCAAGGCATTGACGCTACTGGCTGCTGCTCCCGAAGAGGTGGTGCGTCGAGCCTGTGCAGTTACGCTTTGCAACTTATCATCGGAGGCTGCTCACGTGGAAGACTTGGTGAGGCTTGGCGCTCTTCGCGCTCTACTCGTGCTAGCCTGCGTCAAGTCCAACGACCCAGAGACACGTCGTGTATGTCTGAAAGCTGTGCTTAATCTACTGAGACTGTCGAAGCCAACAGTGATGCAACGCTTGTGTGATGACGGTCTGCTCTGGGCCTTTGGGATGTTCACAGATGCCATGGAGCCCAGAGACTATGCCATTCTCTCGGATGCTTTCTGTCTGCTAGCTCAACATTCGTCAGCACGTGCTGGACTCATTGCCAAGCCTAGTACCGTCGCCTCACTCGTGCAAATACTTGAATACGACGTGGTTTGCTCAACAAAAGTGACAGTGTTGAAGGGATTACTCAATCTACTAGCAGACCCAAACAGTGCAGCTTTACTCCTGCTAATCGGCGTGCTACCTCGCCTCGTGGCGTTCGTGGAGACGGAGAAACAGCCCGAAGTTTGTGAAATTGTGGTCGAATTACTAGTCCTAATCTTCCAGAACTCCATGCCCGATAACGATGCTGCAGCTGGAGCGTATGCAGAGCCTGCGCCCATGCGTACTATCACGTACCTCGTACATGTAGCAGAGCAGGAAGAACTACATCGTAGTGACGAGAGCACTACAAAAGGTGCTAGTTGCGCTCAGAGTTGTGCCGTTCTATTGCACCTACTATCGCTACACGAATTCACACGACCGGCGTTGCTTGTTGCACACCCTCCACTAGGCACTGCACTTCCTGTGCTTCTATTGCAAGCGAAGGGAGCAACACAAACACTTTTACTGAGGTGCCTGTACAACCTCACATGTGATGCTGAGCTACTGTCACGTATCCCACTAAACGTCTGCATTCCTGCATTGAAGACGGCATTGGCAACTCAAGAGACTATGGATACTTTAACGGAGACTTTGGAAGATGAGCTAGAGGTATTTGCACTGTGTGCGGGTATTTTACGCAACACTTCAACGTCCACACATTGCCACGAAGTGCTGAGCTCAGAAACTGCAACAATGTTGCTATGTGAACTATTTACTGTGGGAGGAAAAGTGTGTCGTGAAAATGTCGCGTTGGCAACTTGCAACTTATTGTTCGGAAGGGTCAACTCTCACGTATTACTCTCTAAAGGGGTATTGCCACTTGTTTTATCGCTGTGTTCGCCTGTGTTAATAAATTCGTCAGAAGCCCAAGCCATGTGCTCCGCTGTGTTGCGGAAGCTGGCAATTGCACCAGGAAACAGTCAACTGCTCCTACGCGGTGGCGCGGTTCGCCATCTTGTGACGCTCATGGGAAACAGCTCTTCCATGTTCGTCAAGATGAACTGCGTTGCCACTTTCTGTCTCCTAGCGCAAAAGCCAAGTGTTCCTCCGATTTTGGCGTCGCAAGGTGTGTTGGCTTCTGTACTGGAATTTCTAGACCACTTTGAGCGAACGGAAGGTGCGCTGGACCCGTGTGTGGAAAGCATGTGTGTCGATCTGCTCTCCAAGCTCGCGCAGTTCTCAAACGCTAGCAATCCCCGAGAACGACACCTGTCGTCGTTATTGTACCGAGTTGTCGAGAAAGAAGACGCCAACACTGCGCCTTCAATACCTCAAACCACTCGACCCACCGGAGTTGAAGTCTGGCAAAACGACCGCAGCTTTCTCCAACGAGAGCAAACGGGGCCGCTCCCCCCGACGGCAATATTCTCCAGACTCATCTTGTCTTTCAATGATGCACCAGTTGTGCCTCATACCCCACAAACCATTTCGTACCCTGGTTACGCTATTGAAGTGAGTCCGAGTGCGAGTTACATCGAAATGGGAACAATTGAGCCAATGTTACCGCCAATCGAGACACTGGAAGACAATGCAACACAGGAGAGTGATGTTCGTTTGCAGACTGGAGACTTCACCCCGCCGCCCATGTTTCCAAAGTTGACGACCCCTTTCAAGCCCCTACCATTCATGCCACAAGTTGGGATGTTAATCACCAAACCATCGTCTTCTAAGGTACCACCACTTCCGCCACGACCAATAGCAATTTCTAAGTAAAAATCAGCATTGAAACCTTTCTCTGAAGCGTCGTAAAGCGACAATCGGAGGAAAATATGCAGCGACGAGCGGAGACACCAGCGACAGACGCTTCGGTGGGGACAGTAAAGCATCTGAGAGCTCAGGGATCGTTGCTTCACAAGCGCACGACGCCTCAGCATCTAACGCTCGTGTCGGTGAAAGAAGATGTGAAGGAGATTCCCTATGAACGCGTTAGTGAGGCGTTCGGGAGTGACAACCACCCTCATATCCTGCACGCATTGGAGGAAGGCGAACCAATACTACGTCGTTGCGTGTTGGAGGCATTGGCGTCCGTCCTTAAACTACCGCAGGAGCTCGTTGTGTCCATGAAACATGGTGTTCTAGAGCTCATCGAAGGTGGAATCACGGTCGGTATTGGAGAAGATGAGACCTCAGACTCCCATGAGTTATCTGAACACGAGATCGAACTGCAACAACTCTCTGCAAGGGTTTTCAGTGTCATAGCCGAGTCTCCATGCGGCCAAGCGGAGATTCTTAAGGGTGAAACAGTCACACACATCAAACCTGTCTTCGCTGCGATGTCTAACAAGCGCACGTGCGAACATCTTTACGACGCGCTACTGCACTTGACTGGGTCCTTTGCTGGTGCTCGTCAGCTGACTAGCGCCGGATATCTTCCGATAGTACTTGACCATCTTAAAGGCTGCCGCCTGAATGATGCACTTCGCATCCGAGCGCTAAAGCTGCTGAAAAACCTACTGAACGATGGCGTGGCCGGTACAACGTTTCGCGCGCTGGAGTTAGAAGTCGTGGCTCAATGTGTGAAGAGGCTTCACTCGCCCAACTTTGAGGTGCGAGCGGTAGCTTGCAATGCTGTAGCGGCCCTGGGCTTCACGGACAAGGCACGCAAGGCGGTGGTCGAACATGGTGCAGTGGTTCCTCGACTGTGTGCCTTACTGACGGATCCACAGTGGCACGTGGCGTCAGCTAGCGCCGGAGCACTCATGAGTCTTGCAGCGCATGACGAGGTCAAGCGGCAGATTGTGGCTAACGAGGGACTGGCGCCTGTGAATCAATTGCTGCAAACCAACAAACTGCCGCTTCAGCTGCACACGACCAAGTTGGTGTCTGTGGTGACGGCGCTGCCAGAGGCTAGGCGATTGCTGGACGTGCCAGCCACGATACTGAGACTCAAGACACTCACGCAAGACGAGAACGCGCTGCTAGCCAGGAGCGCCAAGGTGGCGCTGGCTGCCGTGCAGTGGCGGGCGTAGATAGCGGAGACTGTTAGCTTGGCCAATGATGAAGACAAGTGGATCTGCTGACGTCAGAGCTCAACAAAGTGAGATGGGTACTTTCGTGTTTTACACTTAAATTAGGAGAGATGACCCCCCTTTAATACAGTTGACATCTGATTCACTTATTTTAACCCAGTGAAAAGCGTTAATACTGCACCGCAAAGGGGGGAGATCGAGTTTCTCCCACCTCTTTCCACTCACAAAAACTCAGCTTAAGGCTCAGCAGCAGTTCCTCCCAGTGCATTAGTCTATCATGGTGCGTGGCTGCCTTCTCGTCCCAAATTTGCCCCGTAGAAGCCGCTGACGTAGCCCCCTTCCTCTTCTTTTTCCGTGCTTTATTGCAGTCGTCCGGTGTCGGTGTCGATGACGAGGTCATTACGCAGTTCAACGACTTCAAGCTCAAGCGCGCCCCGCATGACTTCCGTTACTTCATCTACAAGATTGAGGGTGACTCGCAGATTGTGATTGAGTCCACGGGCCCCAGCTCCGAGTCGTACCAGGACATGGCCGATAAGCTCGCTCAGATTACGAACGACTGCCGATACGCCCTAGTGGACCTGGACCTGACCACGAAGGATGGCCGCCCTACCAGCAAGATTGTCTTCCTGTCTTGGTACGAACGATATAACCCTTTTTTTCCTTATAATTTTTAAGGATTGAAGTCTAATGTTATTGTGCTTATTTATTTGCCTGCTAGGTCGCCCGACACGGCCCGCATTAAGTCGAAGATGCTGTACGCGTCGTCGAAGGAAGCCATCAAGCGCGTCCTCATGGGCGTGGGCATTCACCTTACGGCCACTGACGCTTCGGAGCTCTCGCTCGAGTCTATTGAGGACGGCGTTTCCAAGTTCCTGTAGAGTGGGGATGCGTTTTGGTAGATTGGATTCGCCCTGCGCTCAGTTGCGCAAAGTGATGCTCAAGTAATCCCAGCATTTGCATTTCTAGTTTCCATCCCGTGTTGGGCTCCATTGCCACAGGTGCTACGACAACACGTAGACAACACGTAGCCATTCCAAGATACAACAACAGCAAGTTTCCCCCTTCACAAAGGTACAACGACGGCAACCAGCTGGCAGATTGTACCGACAGCTGAGGCTATCGCGACATCGTGTCTACCGCGTGGCTTTACATCCACCACTCAAAGCGTACACATGAACCACATCACATGAACATAAATATCCCTCAAATCGCACACAAAAACCGCTTCAACTAGCTAAAAGTGGGGTCACGCTAGTTGACTGCCCATGGACGTCCGTGGAAACGTCGCCGTCTCACCGGCCTTACAGATAGCAGGCGTTTGCCTGCTTGTGACGCTCAGCGTGCTCCTCGCGTCCGTGTATTTGCTACCACGTTGGCTGCTGCGTCTTGTCGAGTGGAACTCGCATCCTTCCGTTCTCTGGAGTGTACGGACGTCGTTACGCGTGTGCTCTTTAACTATCGACGACGCTCCATCACCGTCCACACCTGCGATCCTCGATATCCTGCGCGAACACAACATCAAAGCCACGTTCTTCATAATCTCCGGTCACATACCGGGCAACGAGGAGGTTCTACGCCGTATCGTACGCGAGGGTCACACGCTCGCCAATCACCTCACAGAGGACCGAGCCAGCATCTTGGACGAGCTGCATGTGTTCGAGCAGAAGCTTCAAGAGTGCGATCGAGCCATCAGCGAGTATCAACCAATGACTGAGGAGACGCCGAGTGAGCCACTGGAGACTCAACAGCTTCTACTTGAGGAGAAAGAGCCCGACACTGCTCCTCCAGTTGCGACTATAAAAGAGACAGCTAAAGTAGAACCAAGAAACAAGTGGATGCGTCCGGCGTCTGGCTGGTTCACGACTCCCATGAGAGAAATCACAGCACGTCATGGCTATCGCATCTGTCTGGGCAGCGTGTACCCACACGACGCTCAGATCCGATCAGAGACGATGAACTCCATGTACTTGCGAGCACGCACGAGCTGTGGATCGGTTATTATCGTGCACGACCGCTCGTGGACGATCGGCGTCCTGAAGACGGCGCTTCCTGTGCTTATACGCAAGTTCACGTTCGTGGGTCTCGATGAACTCGTGTCGTATAACAAACCCAACGTAGAAACAAGTGACGATAGTATTATAAAACCACAGTAGCATGTACGACGCTGTAAATTGCGCAGCAACTGTAGCTTAGATAAACCCATCCGACAGAGCCTCTAGATGTGTTTCTAGCTGTACTGGTGACTCGCTGGACTCAAGAGATTCATCCACAGCTGTCAAGGCGAACTGCATGTGTTGAGCTAGCATGAAGTTACGGAAGAGCTATCACAAAACACCATAAATATTACGAGTAGTAATTTTAGAAATAGTACTTAGTAAATGAATATAATACTTTACCTCGGAGTGGAAACATTGACGGAAGAAGTCGCGGCATCCGAGCTCAATGTGGGCGTCCAGATACGAGTCGACCTCAAAGAGGAGGAATTCGTCTGTATCCGCTGAAGTTGATTGAGTTTCGACCGCGAAGTTCTGGTGCAGAGAGCAGAAGTAATACACCACGTCTCCGAATAAAGCCTCAAGGAACCACAACAGCGCTAGACGCGCTCTATCGTCCAGAGAGAGATCGACCGACTCGAGTTCAGCTGATGTAATCTCTGCACTTGGTTCTTCCGACTGACTGTTTTTTATGGACTGACCAAGCATTTCTTGGGTAAAGCTGGGAGTTTTGCTCGGGCCGAAGAGGTGCGAGTCTGCTTGAGTGATGCGAGAGCTGTGGAGTGCTGTGTTCAGCATACTTTCAAGCGAGCGAAGGGTCGATTCTAAGCACACAGCACACGGGAATATTAACAATTTTGTTCTTAGATACAATTCGATAAAACTTACGTGGAAGCTCGAGGATTTCCACTTTTTCTGGAACGTAAATATCGTCCGAGTCGATGTCGACGATGATCGCTGTTGTCTGCAGAAGCTCCGGCGGATATTCAATTGGCCCTAGAGCTTGAAGGTGAAGAGAAACTCTATGTGTGGTATAAATACTGTCGCCTGAAAAATATTAAAAAAAAATGTTACAGTTCTTGTCATTCGTGAGAAAAACAACATTGACTCACGAATTCGGAACCGCTGCTCCGAGCCAGAATCTTTCTTCTGGTAGGTAAGCATGCCTTCACAGCCAATACGAAACGGAGACGTGTTCACTTCGGAGAAAAGACCAGCGTCTCGCAACTCGGAACACGTTGCTACGGGACAAAATGGCAAGTAGAAATGCTTTACGATATTCAAACGTGAGAGAGTTAAACAACATGTTTATCGACACTTTGGACTGACCATCCACTCGAATGGCTTGAGTAGTTCTCGAGCAGCCTCTGCGACCGAAATGAGAGCTGAAGCGCGTTCGGACACCAGAATAATGGACTTGCCGACCAGAATCGATGACAGAATACTGATAAACGTCTAACAAGGAGCGCAGAAGCACGTCAACAATATCTCACTCGAGTTTTTCAAACGACAGGGCGTACCTGAGAGCAGATCTCCTTAAATACAGCGCTCAGGGACATGTCGATTTTGCGTAAATTTGGCTGTAAGTTAAAGCCGCCGTATCTTGCACTCAGAAGTGGTTGGTCGCCGCTTGAAGACTCGTAAATCGATTTCACTAATCGCGAGATATCGTCAACTGTCATGTCATTCTACATTTAGAAATCAGAGAAAAGGAGAGAGCAGTTAATGAGCTTTCCAAATCTGTTAGTTCTAACTTTCTAAATCTTACCAAATCACTCGATGCAAGCTTCAACAGCAGTCTACGACTGTTCTTGTGCATTGGTTCAGTGGTCAAGACAATAAGGACCTGCGGACAAGGCTGAGCAGTTGCGGAAAGCTTGGCATCTAACGGACTGGTAGCGCCTGTTATCGGCTTCTCTCTCTGTCGCCACAAAGTCAGGCAAACACCAAACAAATATCGAGCAGATACTGGTTCACCGCAGCCACGTATTTCATCCTTTGGCAGCACAAAGTCGTGAAACGAAGGCTTGGGGACTGCCCCACAGTCATTAAAGACAGAGTACCATGAGAATTAGTACTCGATACAGACGTACCAGTGGGTGAAAGAGGACACCCAGACGGAGACAGAGCGCTCCCGCTTGAAGCTATCGCCACGTTCTTCCGCCAGAAATTCTGCCATCAATACAGCATAAATTATCCCTCGCCTTTTACACAGTACCGTAGTCCTTACCACGTGTGCCGGATGCGTTTCTAACGCAGCTTCTTGCTGGTCTCCAGTACAAAACAACTCGAAGACGACATCGCAGTCGTCTGCATTCGTCCTCAACGTTACCATCGAGGCAACAGAAATACTGTAAATTCCAAACTGCGCTAGCTCTTGCACCACCAACACCCGATCAAAGCTGCGTCGATTGCCTCCATCGCCCTGTCCCCACAAGTTCTGCGGTGATGACTGCTTGATCGGGACGAGCACCGCGTTGGCTTTCGCTTGCGTCTCACTCTTCCTCGACGATACTCTGAGCACCGTCTCGCTCTGCCGCATTGTTGCACTTCTCTTCGCAGTCGCTTGCACATGTTCACTCAGACGTCGTAGCTGCTGATCGGTCTCCAGATCCTCCGTCTCCACTACCAACATGACATACAAACTCGACGCTCGAAACTTTGGGTGCACTTCAGTCTGTAGCCATTCCCAGACACAGTCCTGAGCTGTACGGAATAAATTCGCGTAACGAGGAGGAGAGAATGGCTCACTTTGCAGTTTCATAATTTGTTGCAGTGTGGCTCGTCGTACAGTTTCTGGAACTCGAGTCGCTGCATGGCCAGCTCCTTCTCCGGTCTCTGTCTCCCCCACCAGGAATCGATTGAACACATGACGCACATGACGCTGCACCTCTTCGAATAGAGCCACCGAGAATAAGGTCGTCTGGATCAGAGGGAGAAACCGCGTCTGCACGTGCACCCAGAAGTGCAAATTTCCTTCATCTCCCGGGAATTTATCGGTTATATATTTCATTAGAAATTGAGTGCGTCTTGAGTCCACGAGAACCTCAGCAAGTGGCAGTTCTCGTCTCGATCTCAAAGCGCCACATAGTGCCGTGTAATCTGGACTTGAGAGGAATTGAGGGAAGGCCGTGCGAGTCATGTGGTCCCGCACGAGCGTCTCCAGTCCGTTAAATAAATCCAGTGGACAATGACCTGCAGCCGCTGCATTTAATACACGAGTCCGAAGAGGCTCAGCCGATGGAGGAAGCAAGAGTTGGTCCGTCGACTGCACTTGCTGCAGATATGCGGTCACGATGTCCTTCGCCTAAAATATATAGTAACATAATGAATAATTTCTTATCAATTTACTATACCAATATTATTAATGTAGTACTATTTTAGCTTACGGCACGCGGAAGTAGATCCCGACGTCCCACGAGCCGCTTGTACTGGCGGACGCGGAGCAGGAAGGCGAAGCGCAACTCCAGCGCTTGTGCCTCTCGCTCCGTGAAGCAGCGCAGGAAAAAGTCACGACGGAAAGCGTCCTTGGCCACGGCCTCAAGTGTCAGCTCCATTTCCAATCAATTAGTATAATAGCTAGCTCCGAATAAATGACAATCGACATCATTCGACAAGTTGAAGTTTGTTTTTGGTTAAAGTACTATATTTCGTCGATACTAGTGCAATATCTTTATTATCTGTGCTTACATTCAAGGTATAGGATTAGTACGCTCAACACGTTCACAAACGTTGACGGTGGGCGGCAGTTGCACCGACGTCTGAGGCTCAACATGCTGCTGTGGCTCCGACATCCGCTGCACTCGAGGCGGCACCGTCAGTGCGGCGGATCCAAAGAAAAGCTGATGTGGGTGTTCACTGCCCTGACGTCGAAAGCAGGTATCGCACAGAGCGAAGCGTACGCACGTCCGACAAGACCAAACGTCTGCGCGAGTGATCAGGAGGCTGCACTCGCGACAGAAAACGTTGAGCTGCCCCACTTGCTCGTTGAAATAATGATGCACCATCATCATCGTCGAGTGCTTGGCACGTCGCAGCGAGTCGAACTGGTAGCCGGCAAGAGAACAGAGTTGATGGAACATGAAGCGGCTGCTGAAGAAGCGAGGAACCTGCTCGAACCACGACGGCACTAGCGTCTCTGGGTGGCATCCTCTGAGTCTCCTCTCGCCAGCGAACCCAGCACCTTCCACTTCGTTGTTATCGTCGTCCAGGACCTCCAGATCCACCACTAACAAGTCGTTCTTGAGTCGTTGGACTGCGAACTGACACTTGGTAAACACCTCGCGCACTTTGACGTCCACTTGCAGCGATTGCGGCGCGGGCGGAGGCGAATCCGTCGTCACTTCCTCTTTAATCCGCGTAATAACTCCACCAAACGAGAGTTTGCCACCTGCTCGAGCCATGGAGCTGTTCTTGCCGCGCGTGGCCAGTTTCTTGTTCTCACTGGCGCGTTTTTGCTTCTCGTTTCTCGATATAATACGTCCAAGGATCCGCTCCAGTTCAGAAGGAACAATGTCGCCGTCAAAGATAGGAGGAAGGTGGTTCGCTGGCCACACAAGCTCATCCGGATTCACAGACAACACGGTAGTGCCGCGTGTCGAGACGCCCACTCCGCTCTCCTCCTTCACAGACACGAACGAGGACGACGGCGTGGACTCGCCATTAGACTGGGAGCCACACACGCTGTCGCTGAAGTACCGATCGTACAGTGTAGTCCAGTCCTTGACGATACCGTACTCCTTGGCTTTGGTGAGTAAATTACTGTACCATCGACGCAAATGCTCCGCACTTGGCGTCTTCTGGAAGGCAGGACGACACCAGAACACATAGCTGATGCGTTTCTGCGGCGGACAAGACCAGATATGGACGCGAGAGAAGCCATGACGTCGCACGTAGTCGAAATACGCCAGCAGGATGAGATGATACGCTGCTGTCCGCGCACTCGTAGGCTTGAGATAACGCACACTGTCCAGGTACGCGATGTACACGGCTCGTCGATTCGCTTCCAGCTCGCAATCGTCTCCAAACTCTTGCGCATAAATCGTGAAGAGACAAACTTCCATGCCTTCGTGTTTCTGGAACAGATACAGTCCACGTGATAGATAACTGATGCGAGCAGGGAGACGCTGCGAGTTGGTATTCGTGCCCGGCCGCATCTGAGCTAGCAGCTGCGCGTTCTCGTCAAAAACTCGCACCACGCCCTCTGGGACCGTCAGATGCTCGCCTGGGAACGACAGCGCTCGTACATACAACGTCTGGGCCGCCTCGAGCTCGCCGATTTCATTGAGTCCACGCCGCAGAAAGTTCTGGATAAATATGCTTAGTTCACAGCTCGGGATATTAAGACACGAAGAGTTCTGCGCGTGTTCATCGGGATCAACGTTCAGGATCTTGCGCATGGGCGACTCGGGCGGGGGCGTCGCTCGTTTACGTCGACAACGACACAAGGGACACACGTAGGGATTGGTTTCAATGGACAAGCCGTCAGGTCCTGTGTTGGGGGCTTTCTGCACCTCGTAGGCACCGATTACGGGATTGTAGAGTCCACACACCTGGTGAAGCCATCGATCGCACTCGCCACACTTGACCCAGGGCTCTACACCAGCCTCGCACTTCTTCTTAATGAGAGCGTCCAGCATCGCGTCCGTGTCGACGTCCGGTGCTCGATCTGCGGCGTTGCGGTCCCTCGCCAAGCGAGTCTTACACTTCTGACACCACACACGTGTACCGTCCTCGGAAATAAAATAGATGGAGCCTTTGCGGATCTCCGTGGAGCAGCCAGCAGAGCACTGCAAGTGAGGCGGCGTAACGTCCAGACATTGCTGGTTACACACAATGCACGTGTTGCCTCGACATACCAGACATACGTGCTGCACGCGTTGTCGCTTGGCTTGTCGATTCTGCTCCGCTTTTACCGCCTCGTTGAAGCGATTCAGCAAGATGCCAGCGTCCACGTGGATGTAATGCGACTCTGGATTGAAAACCATGGCGTTCTCGAACACCAAACGCACGTCCGAGACGAAATCTTCCAGTTCCAGATACTCTCCAGCAGCCAGATTGCGCTTGACAGTGCCCAGATCCATGGGGTGCTGCACGATCGTAGTGTATGCCGGCAATTCCAGCGCGATCGGGTCCACTGGCGTGTTGAACACTCCGTGACGGTTTCTTGGATCCGCCATGAGCTTCAATAGGATATCCGTCACCTTCTCGAAGCTCGTGAAGCGGCCTTCTCGACGTACTGACGCGATATGCTGCACGATCTCGTCAGCAGTCATCTGCAGCATCGGGTTCACTTCTACGGGGTCCATTGTTCGTGATCCTTGGCCAGGTGGTCGCCAGCCAAGCGGCAGACTCCGATTGTCCCCCAATGTCCGGCAATCGTACGGCAGAGGCTCCATGAGCTTCTGACTGATACTCTGGCCGCTCGGACTCTTGGCCCGTACAACTTGACGGGGCGTCACCGTCGGTAAACCCACTTCGCCATTGCGTCGTCGATGCTTCCGAGGCGAGAAACCGGCCAGTTGAGCGTATCCATTGCTCGTATCGCTGTAAGTTGCAGCCGATGGACGTTTGCGTACTTCCCCTCGCGGAGACTTGGTCTGCGTCGTCTTTGTGCTCTTCTTCGGACTCTTCGCTTTGGATCGCGCTCCTTTGCCCGCCAATCGGTTGGCTAGAGCCACAGCTCGTTCCTCTGGCGTCACACGTGGAGACGCGGGCTCCTGCTTCGTTGCGACCTCAGCGGTACTAGCTGACGCCACACACAGATTGCGACGTTGCGGTCGTCTCCGAGCGAGCTGCAATGGCCGCACTGTGATCGTGATGGGGCGCGGCAACAGATCGGGGCGAGGCATGGGCCCGGACCTCCGACGATGTGCTGGCACAGGGCAGCTGAAGACGATTTTGGTCCACTCCGACTGTACAAGGCGCTCATTGGCCAGTCCTGCCTCCACCGCAGTGCTAAGCTTTCGCCAGAGCAAATATTTGACACATCTGGACAGGAATTCGTCCGATTCGCCCGTGTCGGTGGATATCAGCTCTGTTATCAGGAAAAATAGCACTTTGAGTAATCCGTTTTACTTCAATTCCAGTACTACGCTGTACGTACCAATGATTAGTCGCAGAATATTGGCGCTGGGCGTCTCTCGATCTCCGTAAAACAGTAGAAATGCAGCGTCTTCCTCTCCTAGTCGACGTTTTCTCACTCCGGCCACGTGATGCTGCTGCCAGACGACGTTCTCCTTGGTCGCAACTTGTCGCTGATGTTTCTTCTTCTTTTCCGGGACTACAACCACCGGTTCCTCTTGTTTCTCCTCCTCCTTCTCTTCGTCGTCGTCTTCTTCTATTTCCAGCTCGCTAAGCTCTTCTAACGCCTCCAACTTCCTCTTCACCCGCACAGGCTCCAGATCCTCGTCGCTGCTGCTGTCAATCGTCACGATTTCAGGCTCAAACTCCGCTTTCACGTCGGAAACCGGCGGAATGTGCGCAAATTCTCGAGCATCTTCCTCCTCTTCTTCGTCTTCGCTGCTGATGCTGATGTAGACCTGTCCGTTCGCCTCAATTTTCTCACGCCAGTTGACGGCTAGAGGCTGTTGGATGGCGCGTTGGCGCTCAGCTTCACGCTCGCGACTCAGACGCGGACACGCCAGGAGGCGGCTCGCGGCCTCATGCACCTCCATCAGTGTTGTAAGTCTTCCCTCATACAAAAAGCAGGTGCTTTTCATTGGCAGAGCAATCAACGCATATGATTGGTTGAAATCTCAAACAGGATCTTCCAAAATTTACTTTCTTTTAGAAATGGCTACACTTGTGATTTTGTTTTTGATTGCATTATTGTTGTTGCCTCCTGCCAGTTGAAGCTCGAGTGGCAGGTTGTTCTCCATCGTCAGTGAGGTTTGATGGGCTTTTGACGTGCGAGCGTTGGCAGTCGCTTCCCGTCTAGCCGCGAGGTCTCAGTTGCCTCGTCGCCGCTCGTCCCAACCAGTGACGACATCTCTTTTTGATGGGGAAAAGCGGCCGATGTCTTACTTGCTTCACTTCACTTTGCAACCTGCTCTGCATGGAGATGCACATCACTGCCGCCGCTCCGAGGACCACAGTGCTGAAGAACGAGCCGCCACCAGAGCCGTCCTTTCAGCTACCGGATCTCCTGGCAGTGAACAGCCATCCAGCGGATGCAGCGGCGATCGTCGGCTGGCCATTGGCTCCACCTCCGAATCTTCTAGGCCCAACGCCTTCTACTCAGGGTCGAATGTCAACTCCATCGTCAACAACCGTGACGAACTGCACGACGTCAACGCCAGAGACGGTAGCTCTACGTGTGTCTGGTTTCCAGTCCAAGCGGCAGAAGTGGACACGTCGATTGGTCATCACCAAGCAGCCTGCGTCCGAGTTCTACAAAGACGAAGGCGGGAAGGCCAATGCACTTGAAGTGGAGGTGACACTGGTGGAGTTTAACGAGCACGGGGACCCTGCTCGCACCCCTGATAATGACTTCATCGACATCCCATTACGTATCTTGCTCTTTTTCGAGTCTGGAAAGCGTGTAGATGACACGGATCAAGAAATCTTCCGCTTCGTGGGCAACGACTACGACTCGGTAGTGATTCGAAAGACAACACGCAAGGCATTGGTGCAGTTTCGGCTCGAGAAAGTGAGTCGTCGAAAAGATGGTCAAAGATTCAAGCTGCGGATCGAGGTGGACCAAGAGCAATGTACCGCCAACGTTGCAGACCTCACGCCAGTCTTTACGAATGCGATTTGCGTCCTGTCCAAGCGGAAACATCCGAGTTCGTACAACTCGGACTCGTCTACGCGTACGAAAGAGCCTCCTCCCAAATTGCTGAAACGAGGTTAGTTAAGCATCCGTTAGATAACTGCGTTATGTGACGAACTTGTCCTACTGCAGATTTGGCCGTGCTGGAAGAGAGATTGAGTCGGAAGATTGATGGACTGGCGACTCAGCTTCATCACTTGAGCCAACTCGTCAAAAAGCAGGTTGGTTATGATGAGTCCTATCTTCTTGACATGAATTAACATTTAACTGTTATAAACATGTTACAGAACGAACTCATCGTCAAGCAGCAGCACATGCCGCATATTCCTCCGCCGATAGTGCATTGCCCTCCAAGCGATAGTTCGATACTTGAACTGCTGCTTCGGTCTAATACTGTCGAGGATGGACCATGGCCCAAGACAGTGCTGGAGCCGCATATGCTTTCTGGCGCAGCCATGCCCTACTTTGAAGTCGCGGACGAGTCATATCATGGCGTCGATGCCGATCTCACTCCGGCGCTTGTTCCTGCGTCGACTACAGATACAACTCCAGCAGACACGCGAACCAGTGAGACGACCACGACACCTTCACTACCATTCGGAGACATCTGAGGCTGCATCCGAGATAGGTATAGCTTCCATTTTCGCTTCCGATCGACTCTACTCGGCTAGCTCGAAAATACAGTTTGAGACCCGCTTTCGACGGCCTCTTTTCATTGTGTAAAATTACTCATTGGGTTGCTGTTGCGTCGCGTCTTTGCCAGTCTCTAGGAAGTGGCGAAAGTCGCCCACTACTTGAGCTAAATTGCCTGCTGTCTGGATCTGTCGATGCAGATCCACGTTCTTTGGGCTCTTCTCCATTAGATACAGCAGCTTTTCCTTTCGTCGGAGCTGACGAATATAAACAGCATTAGTCTTTCCATCGCACGTCTCACAATTGCAGCAGGCGTCGTACTATCTCCTTGTACAGCTCGTCGCACACCGAGTTGAACTGCTCGAGCTTCTTGACCACCTCGTCCTCCACACCCGCTTGGCCCTCGCCTTCACTGTAGTAGCATGAAGAAGTAGCTATTAGCACTCGATAGCAACATCAGTGAGCTTCTTGTGCCAGCCAACATACGGGAACTGCTCCTCGGACTGCACGAGCGTCAGGCATTCCGAAACGAGTTCCTGTAAGGGCAATCGCGTCGTCAGTCGGCCATATCTCGCGCCCGAAATCGTCTAGAGTCTAGAGCGCACGTCAAACTTGGCACAAACGTCCTCCACGCGCAGCGCAAAAGGCTTGTTGGGGTCCTTCGCCGCCTCGCTCGTCAGCATTACGTTCGCCATGGCTGCTCTGTGCTCAAATTGAGAAATGGACTCACTGTTCCATTATTGGGTAAAAAGTACTAATTTCATCCAATCACGAAAAGTCTCCAGAGTCGCCCCCTTTACGACCAAAGCCCAGGACTGTAACGCACTATGGCGGGCCAACGCAAGCTCCTGAGCGAGATCGACCGCACGCTCAAGAAGGTGAGCGAGGGCGTGGACGTGTTCAACGAGATCTGGGACAAGGTGTATGCAGCCACTGCGCAGAACCAGAAGGAGAAGCATGAGGCGGATCTGAAGAAGGAGATTAAGAAGCTGCAGCGCTTCCGAGACCAGATCAAGACGTGGATTAACAACTCGGACATCAAGGACAAGCGGCCGTTAGTGGATACACGAAAGCTCATTGAGCAGAAGATGGAGGAGTTTAAAGTATGCGAGAAAGAGACCAAGACCAAGGCGTACAGTAAGGAAGGCTTGGCACAAGTCGAACGCTTGGACCCGGAGCAGCAGGCGCGACAGCAGTCCCACGCGTGGATCCAGGACTGCCTTAACCAGTTCAACGTGCAGATCGAGGCGCTCGAGAGCGACGTGGAGCGTCTCCACTCAGCCAAAGGCCGGAATCGCAACAAGGCTGAGATCGAGGAGAAGGAGAAGCTTCTGTCCAGGCACAAGTGGCACATTCTCAAGCTCGAACAGATCAATCGGCTGTTGGATAATGCGGCACTTGAGCCTGAACAGGTAGATGAGCTAAAGGAGGACGTCGACTACTATCTCGAAGCCAATCAGGAGCCAGACTTTATGGACACGTACGGAGACGACGACATCTACGAGACGCTGGACCTCGACACGCTCGGAGCTGCAGCACAAGTGGCTCTCCCTACGGAGCAAGACGTGGGTATTGACGACACCAGTTCAGCCGCTACGACGTCTGCTGCTGCTACAACCTCCAGTGGACGTGGGAAGACGCCTCGCAAGAGTGTCACGTCGTCTGTGATTACAGGAATCGGCCGTGCGGGTGCTGTCAAGCCTATCGATCTCAAGTCGTCGACTCCTAGTCGCTCTAGCAGCACAACCAAGAGTGATACGTCACCGTCTAACGGCATCAAGACAGACGACCTTAAGATCGGCAAGGGACGTACGACTCCACAGCGTGCAAAGAGCGGCTCATCGTCCTCAGAGAAGAGCTCCAGCAAGACGCCAACGCCGGTTCCTTCCTCTCCTGCAGTCGGCACACCAGCACGTAAGGTATCACCACCCACACCTCAACGTACGCCGTCTCCGACTGTCAGTAAGGGACAAGCAGTAGGCACCAGCTCGTCGTCGTCGTCTGCGTCGCCTGCAGCAGCTAAACCGCCAGTTCCAGCTCCGTCACCGGCGCCATCTAACGCGTCGTTGCCACCGCCAGTGCCTGCCCCGTCTCCCACTGCCAATACCTCAGTCCCTGTCTCTGTATCTGCCCCGGTACCTGCAGTATCTACAGCGCCGACACCTACACCAGCAGCGAAACTTCGACCGTTGGAGGAGTCGCCACAGCTCACGGAAGAGCAGAAACAGGTGCTGCGAATGATCGACGAGAGCTTTCACTTCGTCCCTGAGAGCCGCGACTCGGAGAAGGCCAACCGCTACGTTCCTCGCAATCTGTACCCGACGCCGGCGTCGTTCCCGGCCACGCCGTCCACGTTGTTCTCGAGTGCTCCGATCTTTGAGAAACTGGACGTAGATACGTTGTTCTTCATCTTCTACTACCAGCAAGGCTCGTATCAGCAGTATCTGGCAGCACGCGAACTGAAGCGACGGACGTGGGGCTACCACAAGAAGTACAAGACGTGGTTTAAGCGACATGAAGAGCCACAGGCCACAGGCGAGGACTACGAACAAGGCACCTTCGTCTACTTCGACTACGAGACTGGCTGGTGCCAACGGATTAAGACGGAGTTCACCTTTGAGTACAGCTACCTCGAAGACGAGCTACAGTAAACAAAGAGCTCTGTGAGTAAAATCCTTCACTTGTCACTCCCTCCGTGAGCTGCCTCTACTTGAATCTGCTGAGCGTTGACCTATGCAATTCAACCGATCCACCAAATTGCGTGTAGACAACGGGGTCGTAGGAAGGGCGAGCGACCTCACATGGCAACCGATGTGTATTTAGAGAGCAATTTTTAAGGCGAGACTGAGAATCATAGACTTTTAAAGTCCGACGATATTTTCCTCCAAGTTAATGCCAGTAACTTTCCAGTAAAACAATGCAAATTACTGGAAGTAACAGTTAATCAGCTCAATCCTTCTTATTAATAGTGATTGTACTAAAAGTACTATTACTGGCTAGTGAGCAGATAGTGTGTGGTCCACACTATCAGACCCTTGCATCGCCACTTCCGTCCGACGGATCTTACTCCTGTTCTGCTTCATGAGCACTGCATCTCAGCACGGCGGTTGCCCATTCAGGGGCGAAGGGAGTTCATAACGAAGGCCCCAGTCGAACTACGCGCTCCTAGTACGCGTTTGACTGACTCCGTCCGAGCCAAACCCGAGCAAGTGCAACGACGGACAGAAACAGCGGTGAGCCCGTTTCACGAAACCACTTGCAGACGCCCCCATGCTTGCAGAGACCTTGTAGAAACCAGTGCACTCTATTCTGACGTCGTACGAGGAGCAGTCGGGTGAAGTCCTGGTCGACGGCAACGCGGACCCACTGCACAATGAGCTTCAGCCACTTGTTTAGAACTTCATCGACTTGTTCGTGAAGGGTGAGCACCGGCAAGCTGTTCGCTACCAGGGGGCGCCATACATGACCGGTTCTTGGTCTTCCACGCAGCAGCGCACGCGTCACTGCAGAAACTATAGTAGCACATAGCAAATTAGTAACCAATTAACAATATAACTTTCAATGTAGCTCACCGCGAGGAGATGTTGCCTGGGCTGTACAGGTAGAGCCATTAGAGGACAGGTGATGGGCCTTTCTGTCGCATACAGAGCTCGGGTCCGTTTGAGTCAACTCAGGGCTGATGCAGTTAGTGAAAGCACACTTCGCCGTAGTTGAGGTGGCAGTCGTCGATGTTGTCGAGTGTTGGGCCTGCAAAGAAAATTGCAAAGTGGTTTAGCAGCGTGCATTTCAAGAATGGAGGCAGACAACCTTTAAGGAACAAGCGTAGCCTAAATACGCAGATGAGGAGCTTGCCCACGGCCTTGAACTGACCTCATGTGCTGCATCTAGCAACCAATCGCGCAATCGTGCGACGAAGAGGGCGAGAAGTTAGATTAATAGCGTGTCGAGCAGTGAGCATTGCTCACTGAGCAAGCCGTCTTGCATCCTACTCGCGATCTATAGCGGTGGCCAAAATGGAGGATTGTCAGGTGCCCGTCTGGATCTCGGTACAAGGGCTACGCGAAGGCTGAGATAGGAAATTTAGCGAACCAGCGGCGAGCGGACAACTTTTTGATTAACGTTGGCTTATGCAGAAAAACGTTTCATGATGCACTAGCCTTTTCAAGACAGCGTACTGACAGGCGAAAATTTTACCCACGTGGACACTCCGGCTCCAGTGTCAGCGACGTTCTACGACAGTTTCTTACCCTGATATTCAGTCACTCGATAGGCTTGCAGAACTAATAATATTTAATCAGCGCAGCTGCAATATCACCATTTCCAATACGATTTAATCAGCGCAACTGCAATATCACCATTTCCTGCGGCTGGGGATCGCTTTATAACGGCTTGAACGCTCTCCATGTTGTCTTGTAGTGTGAACCATATTGGACAATGACGTGCAGAATAGCGAGGAAAGCAAACCCCAAAGTCATTGCCTGCTGCTGTTACTTGGCTTTAATTCTCTTATTTTATAATTTACACAGCCATGAGTGCTGAGCGACGTAGCTATAGGTGAGTACTGTTAACAAGGACAATAAGCTGGTGTCCAAATTCTCGTACTCGGTTGATAATCCTCTGAAAACGCTGTGCTTGGTTCGCTCCGGATCATATTTCGCAGTGAAAGTAGATGGATACATAATATAATACACGTGATTACATGTAATGCATTTGTGCAAACGATTCTCATTTAAAAAAAACAATAATAGAATTCATAATATTAACAAGCAAAACCTCCGTATACAACGCAGCTACAATCGCGTAACAAGCCAGATTCCAGGACCCATTCTTCAAAGTCAAACAATTTGTTCGTTGTACAACACATAGGCTCTCTAAACGAATTTAACACACAAGCAGTGTTGTATTCGTTTACAGCACATATGCCTTATATGCGGGGTAAGACGGTAGTCGCGCCTAAAATTCACTAAATCATAGCTATTACGTAGTAAACAGCAAATCAGTTTTAATTTTGAAATACAACAAGTGATTTTACTTCACCACCCACTTGGAACTTCGAATCAGGAAAAAATTGTGACATTTTCGAGGTTCGAGGGAAATTCGCCTTCACGTACCGGTAAGCTGATTTTGCGCTAAAAACGACAGTAAAAGTTCGAAGATAACCTCACTTTAGTGACTGAGCTAGAGGGAGCTATTTTGGTCCCTGGAGCTTGGAACTTTTATTTCGAATAGATCCACGAAGGCATCCACACTTTCACCCCCCCTATTTGTCGGATGAGCATACGTTCTGACGGCGAGTCACAGCTCGACGGAGAACAGGATGACAGGGGATCTGCTCTGCCTCTCGCAATCGAGGACCACAAGCGCAATTGGACGGACGAGACAACGCTGGCCCTAGTAAACGCGTGGTTAAGGACGTCAATTATAAAAATGAGAAGACAGGAATATACAACGAGCGCATCTACCATGCGTACAAGGAAGCAGTACCAACAACGAAGCGATCTAAGAAGGCCATCGAGGACAAAATGGCGGAATTGTTGGAGATATACCGCTTTATTAGCGATTTCTACGCAAACAGAATTAGAGGAAGCACGGGAAGGCCAAATTGGTTTAATCTCCCTCGTAAAGAAATGAAGGATCTCAGGTATGACTTGCTGTTTACTACAGTATAGTAGTACTTGATTAACCGACTTATTATTTTTATTATATTTATTATTAACAGAGCTACCCGTCGTATCGGTAGTCCAAATGTACCCAGCGAATCTATGATAAACCAAATGGATTTCTATATGTAGATCGTCAACCCGTGGTCAAGACGTGCAAGACTGATCAAGCGGTACTGTGATTGGCGAAGAGGAGCCGGACGCCGCGAAGGATCCCCACAGCACCGGCCGGAAAGGTAATCAGCGCAAGGGGCCCAACCAGGGAACCCGATAAATATATTTATTGCCAATTACTGTTTATTGTTTCTATCAATAATTTATTTACAAAAAATGCTTCAGAAAAATATGTATTTACGAAGTTGGTGTACGACGACCCAGCTTTTATTTTCCCGGACAACAACTACCTACAGTTTGTGGTTGGTTTGGAGCCCCTCGACTTCTCCGAATCGCATATTCTAGCTCATTCTGCAACTTCAGGAACACCCCAACAAAACCTACTCTCTTCTTTCACCACCGTGGATGCTTGCATTTAGGCGGCTTCACCCAGGCTTGGTAGTTTATTTCACTAATAATTTACGTTTGCAATGTCCCCGCTCCAATTATTTATTTGCTGAGCTCAAAAGTTGCCGCGCGTTATGTATTTCTCGATGTCCTTTGAAATTGATATAAATTATATTTTCGGGCTCCCTGGGCCCAACCAGGCCTCGGACAATACAATACGAAATTGTACTGCAAGACATCGAGTCCCATAATAATAACGGGAATATGATGAAGTACAATAATAATAACGGGGCCAATATAAGTATATTGTGGCCTCTAACTACCAAGTCTTCCTACTCATTGGCGACGAGCGAAGTCGCGTTCCACATGTCGCGGTTCACGCGAAGAAATGCTAACATCTCAAAGTTTGCAGAAAGCATGCATGACCGCTGAGGCGTCAGAATGAGCTTGCACTGCGAAAACAGTCTTTCAACTGTGTTCGAGGTGGGCGGCACCACCTTTGCCAGCTCATGAAAGCTCACACCCGCAGCACCAGCCGCTCGCATCTGCTTCCCCCCTCGTAGAATTGCGCTGGCGTAATCGCTCGTCGAGCGCTCCTTCCTCTTACCAGTTGCAGCATCTGGCTTCACCACCAATCGCTGGACTGCGCGCGACTCAGACGCAGTGAGCTTCGCATTGTTGCAAATCTTGACCAAAGCTGCCTCAAAGGCCGGCGCATGGACGATCTTCGCCGCCGGACGCAGATGGCTCGCCATAACTGGGTAGTCGTCAACAACCTGGTCAAACAAAACACGCACGTCCGCCATGCTGGTGTCCTCGCGCTGGAGTGTCTTGCAGACACTATCGAGTTTCTTGAGGTGCTCTAGCAGGCCGAGAAGCTTCTTGTGGGCCGCACCTTTTGGGATGAACTCGTCAACAGCATCAACCTGCCGAATAGAATCTCGAATTTTCTTATAGCGGTCCACCATTGCGAATGTCGAAGACCAACGGGTAACATTCCGTTTGACAGGTTTCAGGTCCGTGAATTTTGATAGTTCCGCAGCATTGTTCATGTGTCGTAGCTGCACCATCAGACTGTTAACTACAGCGAGCTCCGGCTCATAAGCAGCTAAGTAGCGATTCACCGCAAGGTTGTACCGGTGACTTGCACAGCCAACCAGTGGCAACTCCAACAACGTAGCGATCCGCTGATTGGTCGCGCAACTGTCGGCTACCAGAAAAGCCACCATAGAGATGTCCTTGTTATACAGCGCCAGCACGCGCTTGAACATCTCGATGTGCACTTCAGCATCTTGGCTGCCGTCCTCCAGCGGTGACAGCGACAGCAGTCGCTCACGGCGCTTGCCGTCTGCGTAGCAAACACCGTAGATACCGACGTAGTGCGTGGTACCGTGCGTCCATCCATCCCACATGACACCAAACAGCTTGCCCAACTCGCTTTCGATCAGCACACCAACGCTCTCGGAGCACTTCTTCATGTCTTCCTTCAACGTCTTGGCCGAAACGGGCTTCCAGGACGACATGGACCTTGTGAGGTCCATGTGGTTGTCGACCTCGGAGACGGGCATGTGCCTCTCTACGACCCACTGAAGCCACTGATAGCGATGCTGAGTCGCCTCGGACACGAACCCAAAGTTGGACAGAGGGGCGTCCGTAGCCGCAGATGCGCTGTAGGTCTCGTTGAAGTCGGGGTGCGTCAGGTTGAGGTGGGACATCAGGTTCGAGTACCCGGTACCGGTTTGCTGCTTGCGGTAAGAACCGCAAAACTGACAGCGGAAGTCGCCTTGGCCCTTGTCTTCGTAGAAGAATGCGCAGATATCACGGTTCGGAGCCATCGTGGTCAAATGAAAAGTGAGGGAGTGCTGTGAGGCTTCGGCTCGTGCTCGTGTCTGTGCCTGCCAGCCAATCACTTGAACGATTGGCGCGAAGAGCTAGTTGCCTCTAACATATTGGTATAAACCGGTATTGTACTGATATTATTGGATCAATATCATATTATATTGACTTTGGACAGATCCAATAATAATAATTGTAGCCGGATAATACAGTAATTACGGATTGATATTATTTTTATCCACCCCTGGGCCCAACAAATACGCCATACTACGGGAAATTCTTGAAGAGCGCTCACAAGCTTCGCTTACGCAGGCCAAGGAATTGCATGCTGCGGAGCTAGAGGAGAAACGCCGCCAGCTGTTGAAAAACGTTTGGGAAGAAAACAACATTTTTGCCCAACGTAAACTTATCTCTTTTGCAAGGATTTCCCGATCTTCAGGCTTAGCGTATGTGTCTATCACCTCCATTTCCATATTAAATGAATCTTGGAGAAGCATAATAGATTGACCCCCTCCTACTACGACGGGTGTCATCGATTCCAGAAGCAGGAGTGCTACCAGAGCTTGCTCGTGCATGATAGCCTCGATTTGTATCCAACGTTTTTTAAGAGTCGCACCTTTATTTATTTATACACGAGCCGTCACAACACATATTCGAGGTTCCAGATAATGATTGTGAAAAGTCATCGCGAAAAAGCGGCCCTTCGGACTTTTTTTAAGGTTCCAGATTCCAAGCTTAGGTGAAGAGGGCCACTGGCGATCATGATCTAGGCCATAAACGTCACTAGCCTAGAGCTATTGTAATTTAACGAAGTCAGATACCGCGCATTTATTTTACTGTGGCGTTCTGGTTTTCAAGTCTCCACTTAGTCGTGTGTATGTTCGGACTCAGTTTGAAAAGGCTGGACCTTCGATTCGCACCAGACAAGGGGAAACAGTGCAGATGAGCTACCGACGTGACTCGCGATAGCCCAACGTACAAGTGCTCGAAGCTCCATTTCGGGCATGCGGTCGCGAAGGCTCGAGAAAAAAGCAGCACCCTGTTAAGGGTACAACCTTGCGCCTTCCATACGGTCACGACGAAGGCTAAGTCGACCGAGTGTTGTATATACGTTACGCTCGTCGGTGTACCCAAAACCCCATTGCCTAGACTCACACCACGGTTCCCATTTCGAGGCGTCATAATTCTAATCGGAATCAACACTTTTGTCTTGCGAATCCGCGCTCCATTCGGGGAAGTCCCCGTGTTTCTTCCAAATTGCTCGTAGGAGGCCACTTATCAGCCGAGAGAGCTACCCCAGATGAATCCAAGAGTTCAACGATGATAAAGTCACGGGAGGTCTACCACATCTTCTTTAATTTGACGTGCACACTGAATCAGCGCTTCAACCTGCCGCCGCATGTCTTCGTCGCCCCAAGCTAATGAGAGATATTTACAAGACGAACCGTTTGCCACACCCCATCCGACGTTTCCATTCATATTATCGAGGACTCGAGCTGGCGCTCCAGCGACAAAGTATCCAAACAGCTCTGGATTGGCGTCTTCGTCGTACACAAGCCGTAGTACTTTGGACAGCGGTTCGCGACGTAGTGGGCGCTTCCAGCGGAAACGAAATCGATTATAACGCATCGCAAAACGCCTAGCCGTGCTCGCCGTCATGATCGCTTTGCCTACATTACTTGTTACGAGAATCGTTGAATCGTCAATCCAGGCTGGATCCCTCTCAACGTCGCCAACGGTAAGTTCGTTGGTCAAACTTGCAACCATGTCAGATGTCATCGGACGAAACGCCTTTGATTCCGCTTTCGCCCAACGCTGCCCGGACGGAAAAAACGAAGGCGATGCACGACACGCAAACAGATTGGTCGCGAACGACTCATCAGCCCGCGCATTCGTTCCTTCGTCCTCCATTGTCCAGTAAATACTAGCTTTGCACTTGCGCCGCCAACATAGCTCCCCCAGTTCCTGTCATTTTCCCAGGTCACATTAACAAACGTCTATCAGGGTCTCACATTGTCAATACACAATCTACACACCAGCGTCTGACTCCGTCAATCGGCAAATAGAATTGCGTTTGCTCTATTCTGTTGAACGATGGAGCAGATGTTGACCAGGTCGATCACTATCATGGTACTGTACTTCGATCTCATCATTTTCGTTCTCAAGTATTCGCACTAAGCCAAGCCAAGGCCAGAACTGTTTGATACAAACACCAATTAAATAATTGAGTTTCCCAAAAGATTAAAAATAATAAAGCAGACCTTTGAGAGCAACGCTATGGCCTTCATGTGTGCCGCAACTCGCGCTGTTGCAACACCAATACTTAGCACCGTGAGCACATTTCATGCAAGCCGTTAGTATTTACTGGACTATGGAGACCTCGTAGACCTTGGCTTCGTAGTTATAGTAGCGAAGGAAGTGTCTTTTTCAGTCACAAACTGCTATAGTAGCGAAGGAAGCTGAGACCAGTCGCCACCGGTGCGTGCATCTGTAAACCGGTCCTGCCCGTCCGACACGAATAAGCATTTTGGAGAGGCCATTCGCCACCTGTGCGTGCATCGGTATACCGGTACTGCCCATCCGTTCAAATTAATCCTTGTTGGGCTGTGCTATACAGAAGCTTCGTACTTCCTATCTCAGTATTAACCTCTCCAGTAACTCGACGATACTGGCGGGGCTGTAACCTGAGTTACTGGCTACTATAGTAGCAGTAGAATCAGATTTGACAAAAATACTGGCTACTATAGAAAAAGGAATAGTACTGTAGATTTGTCTATTACTGGCAAACTAAATTATTTTTAATCCCTGCCGACGACGCAAAAGTGCTGCTTATCCCGCGTGGTTAAAGAGTAGTATTTCTTCCCGGCCAGAGAAAATATCGCCAATCTGAACTTCAAGAAGCGCGATCGTCTTGTGGTTAAGGATGTACAGCTGTGCTATCTTCGTACATAATACTGCTGCTAAGATGCATCTATCTTAATTGCATCAAATGCATAAAAAAAAGGACTGACATTATACTTAAAGTAACAGACCGAGCTTTAAACGTAGCCATGTCAATTTTCGTATTTGAAATCTTCTGTGAGCAGACGACCTCCTGATCCTAACATAATATTCTGGTTCGCTAAATACAATTTGTCAAAGCGCTCATTAAGGTGCATTGTATATCAAGTTTTCCCTATGAAGTGGCACACTCACCTACAACGACATCTGTGCGACCTCCGAGTCCGCATCACTGAGGTCGTTGTAGTCATGACTGCCGTGGACTGGGTGCTCGTCTAAATAAATCTGATGACGGGGCTGCTTATTGCGGTGGTAGTGCTCTTGAGTTTGGCGACGACTTTTGCGGATTTCTGCGCCGATAGCAAGGAGTCGATTGTGGTATTGACGATACCCAGATTCATGGTTCTCTCTGAGAGGTTGGTATCTAGTTAGACTGGCACATATCTGAAAGATGTCGTCGTAAATCGACTCGTTCCAGCGAAACTTTCGTGCGCAAACACGCCAAAGTGTTGTCAAACGCCCCAATTAGCTTTTACAAGTACTCTGTCGCTCGAAATACGCTCATTCTGCCGCTTTTCGTCGGGAGTGAGGTTTGTGCCTTTCTTAAGGTGAATACACCTGACGTGATCCGCAAGGCCTTGGTACCCTATGTCCGCAAGTACCGCCCACTCGTCCGGGTAGTCAGCGGCAAGCGGACCAACGTCTACGAGTCGGTGGTCACCTTTAGCCTTCCGGCAAATAGTCTGATGGAAGGACTAATTGCTCCGGAGCAACGCGATGTGCGACGTGTTCCCGCGCAAGTGAGCGCTAAGTTTTATAGCCACACCTTTTGGGCTAACTGAGACTTCTACCTTGAAGCCGCATAGCTTATCTTCGCTTCGCGCTATAAAATGACATCGCTTCGGCCATCGAGCCACTGGGGCGGTTGAATTGCTGAAATGTGACGTCGGTGGCATACAAAGCGCATGGAAAGTTCTTGAACATGTTGTGCAGGTGGGATTAGTGACTGGTTAAGCTTAACCGACAGGACGTCAGGTGTAAACGGGCGGTGGATCCTTCTGCAATGTTGTTCGCAAACGTGCTATACACAACAGCTCGAATTGTACCATTGTGTATTGCTCTGTCAGAGGTCACCAATGCACGCATGCCACTCTCATCGGCCGCAGAAGACACCAGCTCTTTGTAGAGATTTGGAGCTACTATGCCAATAAAACCCGTAATGATTCAAATGAAAGCGGGGGGGGGGGGGAGGTTACCTTAAAGATACGCGAGAGCACGTCCCAGGTGTACTCACACTTCACCAACGGAATAGTTTTACTGACAAAACCAAGTAGCCAATCAAAGCTCATATATTTTCGTTCTTACTGACAGATTAGCACAACCACAAAATTGTCAGTAGCAAAATCGCAGTTGGAGCAGCACACCAACGACAGCGAAGCGTGAAAACCCACCACCAGACTGCCCTCCTGTTAGCGGTTGCGTTTGCAAGACCCAAAAGTACCCCCGTACTTGCTACACAAACGAGACAAAGCTCAAGGTTCTTTCTTTTTCGCGATACACGATGGTAATGCTACTTTAGCTAAATATTTCCGTGAACTAGATGACCACGCGCAATAGCTGAAGCTAAATTACTCTATCAGTGGCGCAAAGAGCGAGCGTCGCTGGAAAAGAGTGTGCTACACCTAACCAAGCTCGTTTGAAGCACGTGCAGTCGAAAGGAAGGGCAACTATTTATCTTCATACGCTAAACAAGAAATTGCGTATTAGATAACTGCACTGCGGAAAGATGGAGTCCCCGTGAGCGCCAAAGTGCTTGAGCTGCAAATCAAACAGACTCCACTGACTATAATATTTTCATCATTTATGGCGTTGTGGCACTGGAGAAAGGGGTTTATAATGCGTCACCGCTTGAACATTCGTGCACGCACTCGGCAAGGACAGGTCTCACTGGACGACGCTGAAACTATCGCCCTTAACTTCAGTACTGACGCCCAACAGAAGATGCGCGAGCTCCCAGTTACGAAAGTATTCAGCGCCGACCAAACAGGTACATACTTTTTTCTCTCTTTTGTTTTTTTTCTTATCTGTAAATGTGACTCAGGTGTGTTTTTCTTTCGTATATACCCAAAACTCCAATAAATAAAACAGGTAAAAACACGATTTGGGTGCTTGGGGCTGGCAAAACACAAAGAGAGGATTACGGTTATGTTGCTTCTGACTCAGGCGGAGCCAAATATCCACGACAGCCATATCTCGTGCCCAAAATCTTTTAAGTCTACAATACACGTCAAATTTGACACAAACGTACTCCACGCGCAGCGCAAAAGACCTTTGGGACATTTCGCCGCCTTGCTTGTCAGCGTCACGTTTCGCCATGGTTGCTCAGTGCTCAAATTGAGAAATGAACACACGCTTCCGTTATTGGGTAAAAAGTACTTATTTCATTCAATCACGAAAGTCTCCAAAGTCGCCCCTTACATAACCAAGCCACTACAGAGCTGTAACGCACCATGGCGGGCTAACGCAAGCTCCCGAGCAAGGTCAACTCCGCGCTCAAGATGGTGAGCGAGGGTGT